TTGGGAGGGGGTCTCTCTGACGGAAGATACCCTCCGGGGATCTTTCAAACTAAAACCGAGACTCTTGAGCACTCCAGTGGGATCATCTCCATCAGATCATTTGAGGACAGAAGACCCATCCTTAAGCCAGTCCACACCTCCTGGTGGCAGTCCACATAAAAGGACATAAAAGAGAAACTGCTTTTTGTCTGCTTGTCCTCACCACCACTGGAAAATTGACCTATCCTGTTGTCTCCAGTATTAAATCCAGCGTCTTCAGGATTCCAACATAGACTGAAAGACAGCAGCTTCTCGAGAGTCTTCCAGGACGCCACCACCGGATAGGACTACAGATAAAGAGACAACTACAGAATTCATGGCCTTTTCATTGTGAGGCAGCTGTTGTCAGACTATAGTGGAGGTTTAAGTAGGTAAGGGCCACATAGACGCATGAGTGTGAATGCTTGGCCCATAGGGAGTGGTACTATTGTACAAGGAAAAACCTACTACACTCTTACTATTAGGAGTTATGACCTTGTTGGAGCAGGTGTGGCTTTGTTGGAGGAAGTGTGTCAGAGTGGAGGTGGGCTTTGAGGTCTCCTGTGCTCAAGCTATGCACAAGGTGACACACAGTCTCCTTGCTGCCTGTAGAGCTCTCAGCTGCTTCTCTAGCGCCATATCTGCTTGCACGCCACCACGGTTTTCCCGCCATGAAGATAATGGGCTAAACTGAAACTGTAAGACAGCCCCAATTAAATGTTTCCTTTTATTAGAGTTGCCATGGTCTTCCACACAGCAGTAAAACCCTAACCAAGACAACTATCTAGACCATATTCTGTAAACCAGTCTGATACATTCCTTATTATATATTCATTCTATCTGGTGTGTTCCTTTAGAAACTCTAATACCGTAATGAGGACCAGTTATAGTATTTATATTTTATTTTTGCTTTTGTTTTGTTTTCTTTCTGTTTTTTGAGATATGATCTCACTATGTAGCCTTGGCTGGCCTAGAACTCACTATGTAGACCAGGCTGGCATCAAACTCTAAGAGATCTGTCTGCCTCTACTTTCCAAGTACTGGATTAAAAACTCACTATGTAGTCTTGACGGGCCTAGAACTCACCATGTAGACCAGGCTTCCCTTGAATTCCTAAAGATCAGGTCTGCCTCTGCCTCTCAAGTTCTGAGTTTAAAGTGCCTAGCTCAGGATTTTTAGTCTTATTCATACCCTCTGGTGGTTTGAATAAAAATGGCCTCCATAGGCCCACAGGAAGTGGAACAATTAGGAGGTGTGACCTTGTTGTGTGATGTTTTTGTAGGAAGTGTGTCACTAAGGGTAGGCTTTGAGGTCTCAGATGCTCAAGCCTGGGCAGTGTGTGACTGTGGATCTGGATGCAGAACTCTTAGCTACCTCTCTAGCACCATGTCTGCCTTCATGCTTCCCACCATGCTGACAATGGAATAAACCTCTGAACTGTAAGCCAGTCCCAATTAAATGCCTTCCTTTATAAGAGTTGTTGTGGGTTATGGTGTCTCTTCACCACAATGGAAACCCTCCTAATACATACTGTCTCTAGGAAAAGGCTAAAAGCTAAATCACCTTCAAGCTGTAACAGAGAAGCAGGGCTTAGTGCCACAGGCCTTCGATGCGGATCTCTGAGAAGGCCAGCCTGATCTACATAATGAGCTCCTGACCATCGAAGACCACATAGTGAGATCCTGTCCCTGTTTAAAAAAAAAAATTATTGGAAAAGCCAAGCCTGGTTGGCTTGGAAATGTGAAAATGCTGTTCTTAGGAAGAGATTTCCAATCACATTAGCAAGCATTTAAATACTTAGATTTTTGTCAACACTGAAAATCAAAGATTCAGGAGATCTTTATTGATGCCAGTGCTATGAGCTCTTTACAGATTTCACTTTCCAACCCTGCAAAATTGTCACTTCTTTATTGTAGTCAAAAGAGAAAAATCACAATCTGTATACAATGTGCTTTCTTTTCTTTTCTTTTCTCTTTTTTTCTCCTCTCTCTTCTCTCCTCTTCTCCTCTCCTCCCCTCCCCTCTCCTCCTCCCTCCCCTCTCCTCCTCTCCTCCTCTCTTTTCTTTTCTCTTTTCTCTTTTTGAGACAGGGGCTCACTAAGTAGGTCTGATGTCCTGGAAATCACAATGCTGGTCTCGGCCTCCCAAGCGGTGGGAGTAAAGGCATTTACCACCATTCTGGGCCTTCAATTTACTTCTCATTATCATTACATCGCACGGTTTATCAACAGTTTTCTATTCAGTTGACTTTAAAATCTTGGAAATTAATAGATGTTAAACATCTTGCCACTAAACAGACTTTGGGGAAAGGTTTCCTTGAAAGTCTGAAAGTGATCCCTAGTCTACTCTTTTTAAGATATTCAGACAAGATAGTAGTGGTAGTTTACTTGCCTAGTATGTATCTTAGCGTTAAGCTTCAACACGGAAAAAAAAAAAAAATTAACGGAAAGGTGACTACGAAGAGCTACTTTTTATGGTAATAGAAGATGAGTAGTGTTGAAATAAATTGAAGGCCTCGAAACCTAGCTCACAACCAAGTTTCTCTCTTGTGACTGCCCACCGGCATGAACTACACTTCCCATCATGCACCGCGGCTCTCTTTGGCAAATTATTTCTTCTCATTTCCGTCCGTGCTGCCAGAGGTTGCTGGACTTTGTAGTTCACAAGGACTTCTATTTTCTCGCGTGCCTAGCTAGGTTGCTGTGACTCTGGTGAAACTATATGGCGTTATCATTAATAGTATAACCTACCGGCGTCCATTCACTATTAGGTCTATACGAATTTCACGCGCTACCTTCACCCGGGAAGTGGAAGTGACGCACTTCCGGCGTGATGGCGGCGTGGTGGAGCTTTAGGTAATTACGGAACTCTGGAGACTCGGGAGAGAGTAGGAGCCAGAGTGGGGGTCGGCGGGTTGCTAAGTCTCGTGGAGAGGGCAGGGGCATGCGAGTGGGCGCTGGCCCGGTGCGCCTCGCTTTCCGCGCGGGGCTGCGTGTCTTCACCGCGACATGCGGCGAGCGGTGTCGGCCTGGCGCCGGGAGCGGCCGTGCTCCGACGGGGCCTCGGTCTGGGTTGCCGCGGGTGGACGCCTGTCCTGGGAGCTCCCCGGCCCGCGTCCCCGCAGTCCTTGTTGCCGAGGTCCCCGCTGCTCCCGGTGCAGTGCTTCAGGCACGCGCCTCTAGCGGCTTTCGAATCCGCGGGTCTTTGTCAGTCGGCTTCCCGGGACTGGTCCTAATAAACTGTGCTGATAACGCTTTTGCCTCCTTCCAGCGTAATATCCCAGGGCCTAACTCTATTACATTTTCATTTACGGGTTTTTGTTTTCATTGATTTGACTGAACCTTTGTCGTGTTTCGCCTTAGTTCTCCATGTGGCGCATTGTGCGTGTGTTTCCGCCTGACTCTAAATGTTCTAAACTACTCCTAACTTCCAAACATGGGTTTGCAGCCCCTGTCCCTGGCGAGCAGCAGGCTCCACAGCACACTTTCGCAAACAGCACTGTACCAGCGCTAAGTGCAAGACTCTTAATACATTATAGCCACTCACTTTTTGTTGTTGTTTGGGGCAGAGGTATTTGTAGAAGCATGAATTCAGTTATTTAAGTCACTGGAGAGGTGGCCCAGCGGTTAAGAGCGCTTGGTGCTCTTGCAGAAGACCTGGGGTCATATCCAAGCACCTACATATTGGCTCACAACAATTTGTAATCTCAATTTCAGGGAATCCAATAGCCTCTCGTACCAGCCACTTGGGCTTTGCACATATGTACATGAAGGCAAAACATCCATACATATGAAAGGGAGCTATATTTTCTGTTAATTATGCACTGTATTTAGACTGCTTTTTGTTTTGTTTTTCCACACAGTTTCTCTGTGTAGTTTTGGCTGTCTTGGAACTTACATTGTAGAGCAGGCTGGCCTCAAACTCAGAGGTCTGTCTCTGCCTCTCAAGTGCTGGGATTAAAAGCATGCCACCACCGCCCAGACTGCATTTTAATACCTAGTTTATTCCTAACTTACTCGTGACTGGCCCAGTCATACTCAGTCTGGGAATAGACTAGTTCCAGAAAGAAGTGATAAATACAGTTGATTGGAACTAATGTTTTTGAGGGTTGTTCCGTCAAATTTCCCTTGATTCCGTTTTAAGTCTGAGATTACTACAGGCACTCTGGCCAGCTTGAGTGTGGTGGGCCTGGCTCTGGCAGATTGTGCCCCTCTCCCCAATTCCCCCTGCCTTACTGAAAACCATTAGATTATATTCCTAAGGCCACCCCGAAAAGTCTTTTCCCTAATCAAAGTATTGAAGTCCATCAATCAAGAGCCTCCTTTGGCTTACCTAATTAGGATGCTCAGTTAAAAATAAATACCTCATCCTAACACAGGTTTCTCCTTTACCTTTATAAGCCTCATTTTCCTATGTGCTGTGTCTTCAACTTTTCCATCCAGAGATAGTCCTTTGTCCCGTTCTGGGACAAATACCCCTCCTCCCTCTCCCTTGTTCCCTTCCCTTTCCCCCTCGTGCTCTGTCTCCTGTCTTTGTCTCCTATTCCCTGTCCCTTTTGCCTCTGGAGCAAGTAAATCTCCTTTGTACTGAGAACATGGACTTGGGGTATCTTTAGCTGACGGTGAGGTTCGCTATGATTGCTAACATGGGGCGGTGATGGATCATGAAGGCCTCTAGTATGGGCTTCAGTAAACAGGTTTGTTAACACATCTCCAGGTGAACATGGGAAAAGACAGCTTAGTGCTTACCACAGCACAAACTTTGAAAGCAGTTTTTTTAAAAAAAAGTTAGCACATAGGCAGGGGAGTGGATTTAGACAAGCTTTTGCCTTTTGTGCCATGTTAGTAAAACCTGGTGAACAGAAAGCAAGAAAGAAAGCTTCCTCTTTTTAGTAAAAGCTTCAGCATTTAAAGAATTAATTACCTAATATGAGAGACCCAAAATTAACTGATGGTTAATCTACTTTTGAGCACAACTCGGTAGTGGCTTTAAGCTAGGCAAAGTTCAGTACTTCCCCTCTGGAAACTTAATCCCGTGAGTGCTCTGAATCAGTTTATGAGGGTAGCTTCCTTCTAGACCAGAGCTTCTGTGCTGGGTGGTGATGCTAGGTGTCTAGAGGCTACCTGGTAAGCTTCTCTATGGAGAGAGTTCCTTTTAGCCACAGTATGCTTAGAAAGGTTATTTCAGTCCATCTGTGCAAGTTAGCAGACGTAATTAGCAAAGCTGAGGACCAGATTTGGTTTTGAGGTGGGGAGGATGCAAAGTAGGAGGAGGATAAGATAAAGGCCTGTGCTGCATGGCTGTGTTCGTACCATTGGGTCCAGTTTTCTCTCAACACCTGAAAGGGCACAGCATCTAAGAGTGTATCTCTTGATGCAGATGATGACAGACAGCTTGGTGGCTCCAAGAATAAGGGGCAGAGGAGTGTTCTCTGTATGTTGTCAAAATAACTTGGGTCCTTTGTGGCTCCCTCCAATTTTAAAACTTAATTTTAGTATTGGAACCTATTAAGTATCTGATACTGTCCTAGAATACACACATATAATATATATGTACACATATATACACACATATATGTATGTATGTTTGTGTCTGTGTGAGCTGTATATGTGTATATATACACACACACACACATCAGTGATTGAGAATTCTAATCATGTAGGAAATATTTTCTTCATTTGTTCAAGCTGCATTTGTGCAGAAAAGTCTCTGAGGCTATAACAACTGAAAAATATACAAGAGTACAGGACTGTAATGGAAGTTTTGGTTTCTTTGTAAACTCAGCTATGCTGTGTAAATATGTTTTGGTTTTAACCCCATGTTTGGGATTTTAGTTGGAGCTGTAGTTTGTTCACAGTGTTATCTCATGTAGGGGATTAAGGCCCTGTAGGGTAAAGCAGTTTGCAGAAATGGACAGGTGGTGGTTTGGAACACACAGATGGAGAGAAAGGCATCGTGGGGTGCAGCACTTTGCTGCTGGTATGTCCAAGATCCATCTGCACTAAACAGCTGGGAGAAGTAAAGAGGTCTACATTCCCTCTCCCTGCTAGCCTTCTTTCTCCTATGTAGGATTGGGAAGTTGGAAGGGAGGTATAGGATCCCCGAAACAAAGCTACAGCAGTTATAGTCTTTCTGGTAAAAACAGTGGCAGTGATATATATGTATATAGCAGTGACTAAGGATTTCAAAGATGCGATGTATCCATGAAAAGGCTTTCATGATTAACTTCATGGTCTCTTGTGGTCCATGTCACTTATGTTCGTTTTTCTTTTCTTTCTTTCCTTTTTTTTTTTTTTTTGGCAGGGTGTAGCTTGGTTGTCCAGGACTCACTTTTTAGACCAGGCTGGCCTCGAACTCACAGAGATCCACCTGTCTCTGTCTCCGGAGTGCTGGGATTATAGGTGTACAGCACTGCGCCTAGTTTATGTTCATTCCCTATGTGCTCCTGTAAAAGGAACTTTTATTCTCTTGAGCTAATTGTTGTCTGCAAGGCTTACTGCCTCTATCTGCTAACTGAGGCCTAGTCCTGTAAGCTTCTATCCTCCATACAATCTAACCTAGGCCTAGAATATTTTTAGCCTCTGAGACTGCTTACTAAATTTACCCTTTCTTATTCTTTTCTGAGCTCTGCGCTGGCTGGTTCAACCCAACTGTTCTAGCTTTAATTCTTTTTCCCAGCTGAATTATTCAATTTGACTTCTCCTTTTCAACCCCAGAATTGCTCTGGTTGGCCTTAAACTAACTCCAGCAATCTTTTCTAATCTGGCTCCTTCTCATTCTCTGGCTCATTTTGCCTTCAAGCTCTCTCTGTAAAACTCTCCCAGTAAAACTGCCTCCTCTTGTCTCTCATCATTTCTTTAGCTTCCCTTTCCTTTCTCTTCTCCTGAGAGTTGGACATATCCTATTCTGTCAAGTCTGTCTCTGATTCATCATTGTTTCTGCCACTCAGTTAGACATCACTTTTAAACATGGGTGCTCCCTTCTACAAACTAACTTTACCTTCATTGTTAGGGATTAAAGGTGTGTGCCACCACTCCTGGACCTAAGCTTCTCTTTTCCTGAAACTTGTTCCATACCAGGCTGCCCTTGAAAACTCAGATCTCCTTGCCTCTGGCTCCTGGATTAAAGTCGAGTTTGTAGTCCAGCTGGATCACACAGACCTAGAAGGTCTTTGGATGTGATCTCTTTCTAGAACAGTCATGTTTTGGATGAAAATTCCTCTACATGCTGCCTTTACTTGAATTACTTGAAGTCACCAGTTTTGTTTGTTTCAAATGTCTCTGAACCTGTAGCATGTGGGTCCCTGTTGAAAATGACCTTTTCCTCTTTCTGTATGGATGTAATTCCTACTTGTCCATGAGGACCTCAGCACCTCTTACTTTTTGTACACCCCAGACTTTCTCTGTTACAGCAACAGTGTTTGTGGAATAGCTGCAGCATCTAGATACCTCTTCACCTTAAGGATAAAAACATCCACTTTTGGTGACTTGTGTGCTGTGTAATGTCAATATTACCTCCCTAGCCACTGCCACTGTTTTTTTTAGCAGAAAGACTAACTGTTGTGGCTTCATCGTTTTGGGGGTCCTGTCCTCTTGTGTATTTTTTCAGTTGTTATAGCCTTAGACTCTTCTGCACAAATACAAGCTTGAACAAATGAAGTAAACATTTGACATAGTTAGAAGTACTAAAGTGTCTTATTGGAAGGCATGTATTATGGAGGAGGAGGGGCCTCTCTTTAAATGTAAGGGGTTTTTGTTTTTTGGGTTTTTTTTTTTTTCTTTGTTATCATGAAAATGGGTAGAAACTCAGGTTACATCAGTAGATCCAGAGAAACTGCAATGACGCCCTTTGCTCA